GGTGGATTGTACCCAAAATCTGGGGTACAAGGACTACCTCGGGTACCTACTTGGAAAAGGAGAAGGCTTCACCTCGGCCACTCGGCCAAACAGGAAATGGTTAACCGCAGAACAAAAGATACTAGTCATGATTGTAACTGATAGCCTGTTGCCTACAAATAACAAGAGCAAGGATGTGGGAAGTTTGGAGTGCACTTTTGCTTACATTCTAAAACACAAAATCAAGTTCAACCTACCGGCCCTTATGTTAAAACACATGGAGTTTTGCAAGACTAGCAAACGACTTAGTCTACCTTACGGAATGATCCTGAGTTGGATCATGGAGAAGAAAGGAGAAGACTTGAGCCACACAGAGGTCAAGCCCGCAAGCGGTATGGTTTTCAATGCCCAGAACCTCCGTCGCAACGATATCTACTACAACGAAGGGGGACAGTATATCACCCTCGAGGAGATTTGCCTTAAACCCGAGGAAGAGCGAAGAGAATTGGTTGACCGATTGGACATCTCCAACAAAAAGCTTAAACGGGCAATGCAAGATTGTGGGGGACTAGAGGGAAGTGAGGAACAGGAAGAAGATAGCGAGCCTAACCCATCGGCACCCGCACGAACAAGAGGAAACCCAAGGGGACAAAATGAAGAATCTGTCAATGAGCGCATCCTCGCACAGCTCACCCAGCAAAACCAAATCATGGACGAAGGGTTCTCGTCCTTAATCCACGCGACACGCGCTTTAGATCAGAGGGTGGCAGCAATCGAGACCATCCTGGGCACTCGCGGGGCATCCAGTTCAGGAGCAGGAAACCAAGGTAGGCCCGAACTTTCCAATCACCACGTCACCAAAAATCCAGTCTAACCCAGCAAGGACAACACGTGGGGCTACGTTCCTAACTAGGAGGCCAAAATACGGAAGGTCCAGGGGTGAAAGAATGGATTAACGCACCGGCTTCGGGGACAAAGCCTCTTGTAAGGGAAGAGAGTGTAACACCCCGTGTTACGACCCCTAAAACCAATTAATCATTTAACCAATTACCCAAAAGAAAGAATTAAATTCCAATAATTAATTAGGAAAAGGCCCACCATAGTCCATGGGCCCATATCCCTAAAACCAATCCCCTAGTCCTAAAAGGAATAGAATTAGCAAACCCATAGTATTTAGACCCTAATTGGGACTCTTAGGTATATAAATAGGGGGTGGGGGGCATAGGAGGCACCTAGAACCCACACCACAATAATCTCTCACCACATAAGAAGTTCCAAGAACTCCCCTAGGAGAAATCAAGAAAGAAGGAATCTTAAAGAAAGACCCTTCATAGCCAAGGAATTAATTAAGGCTAAGAGGTAACCCATGTCTCAACAAAACCTATTTTCCTTGCTATAATTATCTTCTTTGGCTTCCTCTCTACACTTGTGTCTTGATGAATCGTTTATGATATTGATGATATGATCTTGATGACTGTGAGATGATTTTATGTGTGATCTTGATGATGATAAGAGGTTCTTGATGATTATGTGATATTCTTGATGAATCTTTACGTTTATTGATATTAAAAGACGAACTATGATTTTGATGATTGAAATATGATTAGAGCCCTAGGTCAAATTGGGGATTTCGTATTGTGTTATTCTTGATATAATTGGGTGGGGATTTCGCATGTTCGGGTGTTGATTATGTTTAGAAATCATGATAGGATGTGTGCTTCTTGCTTTTGATCCGTTAATTGTCTACATGGTGTCATCGATTGCGTTTAAAAGTGTCTAAGCATGGTTTCGGGTTCCACAAAGGATCTCGGGACGTTTATTTTGATAAGGAGTCAGTGGGGGTTAGGTGGGGGTAGGGGTACCCGCCACCTACCCGCGGCCCGAAAAGGACGCCGCCGGCAGCGAGCAGCCGGCGGGTGGTCCTCCACCCACCGGCTACCCGCTGGAATTTGCCCAATTTGGGTCTTCGGCTTCCCCATTTGATGTTTCCCCGACCCTCGTGGTGTCCCAACGGACTCCGTTTATCGTGCCTAAAGTCTAGTTTGATGTTTCGGGTACCATTCGTATGATAAATGAGTCTTATATATATCGCATGCTAGTTGAATTGGTATCCTGTTGGCCTAGGTAAAAGAAGTATGAACCCCTCAGGATTATTCCTAGTATGTGGATAACCACGCATAGGTTTCATTATACGTTTTCTCCCCTTTCCCAATGTGTTAATATGGGTTGCATGTGCTTGCTATGTGTTATGTGTGCACGATACCCCAATTTGGTTTCGATCAAATTGGTTATTCCTGAGCTGCGGTCAGAATTACACTCTCGAGCTGCGGTCCACCGTTTGGTTGCAATCAAACGTTTGACATGAGTTGCGGTTCATATTCCTGGCTGCAGTCAGATGACCACTCTTGGGCTGCGGTCCACTGTTTGGTTGCGATCAAACATTATGATGAGCTGCGATTCGTCGGTCGATTGCGATCGACCCCTTCGTGTTGCGATACGAGGCAGGGTGCTGCGGGGCCGTGTCAGAGCTATATGCGCTGACCCTCATGTATGGGCATGCGATCGGTCCTGTGGCACCATCAAAGTGTGCTTGTGTGATGAGTGAACGATGAGATAAATGAGATGAAGTGAATCCATGACCATAGGATATATACTAGTATCTTTACATGCTTGGTTATAACTGTTGAATGTGTTTATCCCTATTTGTCCAGTCTATTCCGGTTTAAAAACTAGTGTCTCCTAAGTATATATCTTCCTACTTCAAAATGATTTTCGTATATCTATATATATCTATCTATAATGTATTTCAACGCGTTGGAGTGGGTTACCGGCATCTCTCGCTGAATAGATATATTTGGCTTTCAGGCACAGACGAGTAGATCCCAGAGCACGCTAGAAGATCGTGGATTAGATAGATAGTCTTTCCTTTCGGCCTGCGTGCCATAATGATGTATTGAGGATATTAGTTAGTTTAGCCTGTGCATCTGAGTTCTCCAGCTCAGATGTGGCATAGCACCCCATACACTTGTGATTAGTATTACTCTGTTTGGGATTTTATGAGAAATTGCCTTTATTATATAAGCTTTAAAAGTTTCAAAATTTTGGGGTGTTACATTCACCCTCACACTCAAGTTCATTAACTTCAGCTTGAAAAAAATCACTTTCATCCATAGTTTCTATCCAAATCTCCAACATTTTACCTTCATCCTCTGCTTCTCTAAGACAGTTTGCAACATCTATATCATTTTGCAGTAGCTTACACATACCATGTCCACCATGATAAATGTATGCTCCTAATGAAGAATACCCTAGATCTTCAATCTTATCCTTAAAGAATTGTAGACACAGATCCTTAGCTTGCACCTTGTCATATATTTCTACATCACCCCCCATGTATTTAATTTCACCTTGCCAATTAATTACACCATTATGGAAGATAAACACATGAAAAAAGGCCAAGATCATATCCTGTAAAGCAGCCACATAATAAAATAACAATATAAACGACATATAAGTACTCCTAACTCCAATATATGCACAAAACACATCAACCAAAATAATGTCCAAATATAGACATAGTGGTCCCACATAGCTCAGCATATACACAGAACACAACAAAGGCATAAACAAATTGGTCCCCACAAAGAATAATATATCAACAGAAACATACAAACAAGATTCCACAACACCCACTGAGCACTCAAATGAACACTCAACTTTAAGCTAAATTTGGTCCCCACATGTAAGTTTTTGAGCATATTTAAAGCACACTAACACCCACTGAACACTGAACTGAACAATCAACTTTAAGCTAAAATTGGTCCCCACATGTAAGTTTCTGAGCATATTTAAAGCACACTAACACCCACTGCCAATTTCACACAAATTAAGTAAAGTAATCTCAAAGTCTTACCACTGACAGCAATTAAATTGCCTGGTATGCAGCGCGAGTAAATGGAGACTGGTTCACTTCACTGTAGCGCGAGGAAATGGAGCTTTCTTCCTTCATCGATGGAGTCTGATTCTCTTCACTGGAGCTTTCTTCCTTCGTCAAATGAATTAGGTTTCACAGGTGGGTTAGTGGAGTCAATTAGAATTAGGCGGGTAGAAATTATTTTCGGCAGGTCGGGTGGTACTTTGGTCAACAATCCGTTTACCCAAATCGTAGAAACAACATGAAAATACTAATTTGCCCCTGCCAAATCGGTCTACTAGTTGACTTGCGTTTTTTCGGTCACAAATCGCCGTTAATTTGGCCAGCGTGACCAAAATTGATAGAAATCGCATAGTCAAGGTACTAAATAAACATTTTTAATAGTCAAGTGCTGCAATTAACACACCTCTAATAGTCAGTGGACCAAATTTGAAATTTTCTCAGACATTTTATTTTAAAACGTTTTTATTTGAATTCAGTTGTATTTCTTACAAAGTATATTTGTTAGACAATGATGTCTTTATATATATATATATATATATATATATATATATATATATATATATATATATATATATATTATTTTTTTTAATTTGACGAGTAACATTTGTTGAATGAATTATTTTATTCCAAATAATAATTAAATTAAAACATTTAATTATGAAAAGATTTTGAAATAAATAATTTTATATTTTGTGCATTTGGCTAGTATTATTTGGAAAAAGAATTGTGACCAAGTAATGGTCACAACAAAGTAATTATTGATACAACTTTTTTTGTCACTGATAATCATTTTTGCGTGAAGAACAATTCTCACAAATAAGTAGAACTATTGTGTCTAAAGTGTTGTCACAATAAAATAATTAATTGCAACGATTTTAGTTGTCACTAGATCAATTTTTTTGTAATAACATATTTGGTCTCAAATTATACATTTATTGTGACAACTATCGTTATCACTCAAATACTAATTTTAGTGTAAGTAAATATTGTCACAAAAGTACTGAGTAATTGTGACAACTTTTCAAAAGTCATCACTACTACAATAGTGACAGAGGATATAGTGACGACAGGTGATGACTTCAAAAATTGGTCACTAATTTCAATAGTGAGCAAAAATGATAGTTTTGGTGACAACTTCTGTTGTCACTAAATGTGAAATTTCTTGTAGTGTCTAACTCGACTTCTTGGTTTGCACGATTCTTCTCGACAACTATTCTTAGTTGGTTGAATCATAAAGTTCAATTACAACTTCACAAATAATGCAATCGATAGTTCCTTTTCGAAAACGTGATGTGGGTCAAAGTCTTTACCAAGGTCAACGTATTGAGACAATCCGTGGTTTCCTTACTCAAGGATTCACGCATGTCCCTAATTGCTTAGTAGGTCGGGTCTTGTTTACAGTCAACAACCTTGCAATCTTCATAAGGTAGTTGGTTATAATCCAACTTTGTATTTCCTTGTCTTGGTTAACGACAAGTCTCCTTTGAAGGCTTCGTTGTTTGCGCAGTCCTGCGTTGCTTAAGGAAGTCCAAGAGTGGAGTTCATCCTTCAGCTCGCTCTTGTCAGCCTTATCTTCTTTTTTTTTGGCTGTTCTAACTTCCAATTACGAGTTTACCTACTTCCTGTTCCTTCCTTGTTTTAGTCAAGGATAGGTTCCTTAGTAGGAGTCACCGATCACGGAATCCTACTTTTACGTTAGGAACATTTGGTGATCAAATCCGTCCTCTGGTTTGTTCCTAACGGTTTTAGTCTCTTGACAACTCCATCAATTGATGGCAACTTGGTTTACTCCTTCTTTCTTCTTAATACCCAACCAATAAACATTAACTCCCAAGCCATCAGACAAAGCAAGGGGTCTACACTACTCATAGGGTTTTAACAAGAGTTCCAAAGGAGGGGGGATACAAATTTAGAGCAATGGCAATGATTCCAAGCCCATAACAGTTTATGGCTTCCAAGGATTCAAGTTAGGTACAACAAGGGTAAGTAAAGGTATAACGGGTGTTAATTACTTTCAAGAATAACTGAGGATTCGAGGTAGGGGTTTCAACAAATAGGAATATCAAGAGGATGAAGTTCAGAGGTGAATGATATTTTAAACTGGAGCAAAGGGGCTCGCAAGACAACACGATATGCTTACCTTGCACCAAAGATTAACCAACGGCGTTGTCCTTTCGCTACTCTACTTCCTAGCATCAATAGGAGTCCTAGTTCTCTTTCCTTTTTGTCGTAACTGTAACCTTAACGTATCGAGATAAAGCAACTTACCCGGAAGTGCACGCCACTTGTCCGAATGGGGATTTGTGGTAGCTGACTCCAAGCCGCGAGTAAGCAATCTAACTTCTTCGAGTTGACCCCATGATCAGATGTAGACACCGCATCTTAGCTGCTTTGCTTTAACAAGGTAACTTACCAGGTAGTGGCGTAGTGCACACCACCCGGTTACGGAGGCAAACATAGCTACTTGCACCCTTACCTGGTGCTTTAACTAAAAGAACTAAAGCTAAACAAGGAGCAAGTATAGGAAGCATAACTGAAAGCGATAAACTCACAATCTCACCGCGCGTCTTAAGATTCTTAAGTCCTAAGTACTTAAACACCTAGAGTTCAAACTTAATATTCTAAAGTCATTTCCTACCTCAAATACTTATAATTCAAGCTTAACATCCTAAAGTCTTATCGTAAAGACATTGTCCTAGGGTCGAACTTAGGCTCTGATACCAACTGTAACACCCCTAATTTTCAAAACGTTTAAAACTTACGAAATAAAGGCGAATCTATTATTAATACCCAAACAGAGCGGAAGCTAAGCATAAGAGTCGGGGTGCTATGCGACATCTAGGTTTGAGAACCTAGATGCACAGGCTACACTAACTAAACAAGTATAATCCAAAAATCAATATTCAAATACAATTCAAAGCACACAAGCCACCTAACTAATGCTAGAGCGATCTAAGCTAAATCCACGAGTCCAACTAGCGCGCTCCGAAGCTACTGGTCAGTACTTGAAAAATATATGGTGTAACAACCGTCAGCGGATAATGCTTAGTAACCCACTCCCACGCGTTGAGTACAATATAGGTAGATATAAGAAAATCATTTTGAGACTGGAATACATATATAGTCTAAAGCAATACTAGCTTTCAAATTAGGATCAAGACTCAGAATATAACAACGGAACGATATTACGAACACCACTAACATGCGTCTTATGTTTACGAGACATAATAAACAGGCAAGCACATAAATAACAATTAAAGGCAAACAATGGGATCCGATGATAATCAATTAGCAAGTAAACATCAAAGCACACAAACCATCTTCCAACCTTATACCAAGTTCCAACCTTTACTCCTTTCCATCCTTATATCAGTTCCAACCTGTACCTCCAGGACACCCTTATATCGCCTCCCTTATTCCTCCGGAGCAACTACATGCCCCACACCGTAACCACCAACATGGTAACACCAAAATTCCATTTACATGATCCGTGCCTCTAGCACCACTATCAAGGGGTCAGCGCATATAGCTCTGACATGACACCGCGGCGCTTATACCCTGACCCAAGCCTTTAGCCAGCAAGTCTAAGGGGTGGTCCGTGCCCTTAGCACGATAACCGAGCACTCGTTGTGCTATCCGCCAACAATTCATTTCCACAAATCACAATCTCATTATCATCAATCTCAACCATCATTGCGCAATGATCACGACACTCATCATCATTCAATCAATCAACATATAATCAACAATAACAATCAAGGTACAATAACAAACGACACGTGCTACATACAAGTTCCTAAAACAGTACTCAAAACATCATACGAGACCCCTAAACATCAAACGGGGTACAACGGGGCACAACGGGACACGGGGAAACATCAAGCGGGGGGAAATGACCCACCGCAACACCACTTTCCAGCGGGTGGGCGGCGGGCGGAAGACCACCCGCCGGAGGGCGTCCGTATTCCAGTGGGTGTCCGGTGGGCAGTCGTCTGCCCGCTGGAATCACGGGCAGTTCACCGCGGGTAGGTGGTGGGGACTCGTTCGCCCCACCTACCCCCCACTGGTACGAAGGTAAAATCGGTGTTCAGGTGTTCATTCGTGGAACCCAAAACCATATCTGAACACATCCCAACACGTAACAACAACATCACGGATTCAAATAACAAGGATTAAACCAAGAATCATTCCAATTACGTTCTAACACGATTCCTAAACATGTCAAGACTCAACATCAATCACATAGCGATTCAGGAGCATCCGGAACCTCAAGAACGTCAAGAAATCTATATGCAAACCCCTAAAGACAAGTCATAGACTAGAATCAACACCCGAGCATGCATAAACCCACCCAAGAATACCAAGAACATCACAACACGAGATTCACGATATAAACCCTAGGGACAAGCTCTAGACATAATTAAATACAATATCAAACCAATAACCACACAGGGCCATCAAGAATATCAAGAATAGCAATAGTTCACCATATAAACATAAAGACAGGCTCTAACAAGATTTACATACAAAATCATACAATCAATCATTCAATCGGAGCCAATCAATAAACAATAACAATGAAAATAGTTTTTGTAAGACATGGGTTACCTCGTTCGCTTATTAATCCAAAACACCGTCAACAAAACCTGTGAATCAAATCGGACTTTCACTAAATAAAATAATTAAACCCTAAGGGATTCAACCCTAGATTTCTCCCAATGCTAAATGTATCCTACCCAACTAGGCTAACCTTCCTTTTATTAACAATCTGATCATCTTTAATTAACAATAATCAACTTTATCAAACTAATCACCATCTAACAATAACAAAAAAGGATGATCGGTAAGTAATCTAAGTGTGCCTAGGGTGAGATTCAAACCTTGCTCATTCTCAAAGATCAAACACCATCTTACTATTAAACTAGACAGGGGCGAATTTACTTAAGTAATATAAGTGTTCCTAGGGTTGTGGACCATACCCACAACTATTAACCTAGACAGGGGCGAATTTACTTAACACCTAATCACCCCTAGAACATAACAACTTACCTCGTCATCTTCTTCTCAGCCACTCGCGAATCACCGTCGTCGTCGCTGGGTGCTCCGCGGGAACACCACCACCTGTCGACAGCCCGCTGCCATCAAGCTAGCATGTCGCTGGGGGGGGGGGGGGGGGGGGGGGGTAGACGTTGTCGCAACCGGAGGGCGCTGGAAGGGAAGACCCACCATCGCGTAACCCCGTCGTCATCGTTTCCGCCGCCGAATCTCCCTCCGATGTTGTTGCCGTTGTTTCTCATTGCAAAGGGAATGAGGGTGAGACGAGTTTGCCGAAGGTTTGGTCTTGAGGGGATTCATGTAGGGTTTGGCTTTCATAACCGACCAAAACCAACCGTTAATATAGATATAACCGACCAAATTTAAAAGGAAAAAGGGTCAAATAAGCCCCTAAACTTTACACTAAAAGTCAATTAGACACCTAAACTTTAAAACAGTGCAATTAAACCCTCAAACATGTTAAATTGAGTCAATGAAGCCCATGAATCGGTAAATGACCTGTGATTACATGTCATTTTAATTCTGATGAATATGAATCAACTACCATTACTAGTTTTGCAGATTAATTCAACTTTGCCAATCAACTAATACAAACTATTCATAGTAAAGTTTCCCAAGATAGAATTGAAGATTTTCCTAAAGTAATTAAATCATAAATCATAATATTCCAAACATAAAACACAAAATAAATTAACAAATAAAAAATAACATAAAAGAGATTAAAGAAACACAAAATTAATTGACAAATAAAAAGAATGAAGAGGCTGAGGAATAGCCGTAAGAAACTGATGCTACCAAATCTAAGTTAAATTGAAATTCTTTACTTCTAAATAATTATCTATACGAATGGATTGTAGCTGCTGAACAAATAAAAAAATCCTCTTCGCAGATCAGAACTCGCCACCGTCGAATCACTGTTGTATTGTCGAAGAGCTTCTGTTGCCGATCAGAAATCCTTCAGCCATCGCCACGCCTGAAAAGTTCGCACGCCCGGAGCAAGCCGCACCTGAAAAATTTGCACGCTCGGAGCAAGCCGTCGAACGGAAATTCGCACTTCGAATGCCCTTTCTTTTCTCGCCTCCGGAATTGACCCGGGGTGAAATTGTTGATCCAGAACGATGAACTTTGGCCTCAATTTATACTGCTGTCGCCGCTGATGAACTGGATCTCCCAAAGACCAAGTTGTTGAAGAACGCCGTCGGAGGCTCTGATTCGCTCTTCTTAGACCTGGTAATTCGTGTATATGGGTTCGTTAACGGGTTGACACGATAACGACACGAACACGATAAGACTAAACACGAACACGACATGTTAAGACTAACAGGTTGAAATTCTTAACACGAACACGATTTGTAAGCGGGTTAAACGGATTGACACGATAGACACAATTTTGTTAATAGGTTTCGGGTCGTGTCGACACGAAACCCGTTTAAACCCATTAAACGTATTTATATATTATTAAAATTTGAAGTAAAGTTATATATATTAAAAAAATGATATAGAACCTACACTTTAATCCATCATACAAACTAAAAAACTATTCAATTCATAACTTTCATAAAATGACGTAATAACATCCAAAAATCATAATCAAAGAAGTCCATAATAATATTTTAGAATAAACTTAAACAATAAAATTCAAATTGCATATTGATGAACATCAATAATTGGTGTAACGTCTTAGCTTGATGTAGTAAATTCATCCATAGTCATATTTATGATATATTCTATAATCTCATTCAAGTCGGTTTGTCCTGAATCTACAAATTTCCAAAATATAGAATTATAAGTCAATAAAAAATTAAAAATAACTAATAATGAAATAAAGAAAAATAAACAATGATTCTATTTATAAACTTTTTTTAAAAAAAATGGCATTACCTAAATCCCCATACAACCTATCTTTGAAACAGACAATTCCCTCTACAACTTCTGGTTTGAGTGAGTTTCGGTATTGGTCAAGGACTCTAATTGTAACACCCCCTAATTTCCATGCTAAATTAAGCCTTAGACATGCAGGTAACTAGTCATAACATCATACACAGCGGAAGACTAAACAGGGAATATATGAATAGGAAATAAAGGGTGCTATGCCACGCCCACCCAAAGGTGAACGCACAGGCGAAACATCTGCATAAATCTACAATCTAAATTCATTCAGAAACAGGAGTACTAATGTCTAATATTGGCACATAGGCCACAACGTCTCAAAAATAAAGGGATCTAAGCTAACAGGTTCTAGACCACGCTCTCGTCTACTCAGCACCTGAAAGAAACACATAAAATAAGGGACGACGCCCGGTCAGCGAATGATGCTGGTAACCCACCAATACATGTGAAATATCATATGTAGATAGTTTATGTATATATACAAAATCATTTGCGAAATGGGATATAGATTATATAAGTTCAAATCCAAGAGTAGAAGTCAACACAAGACTCTTGCACTCACAATAAAGATAAGGGAACACATCCCAAGACAATAAGAAGTACAACGACACACAAGAACGGCTCAAGGCATAATCTACCATCTCACAGTAGATTAACACCCGACATGCATAACACAAGAGAATAAGGACACAACCATTGACAACACATTGCCTTTGTGACAACACATGTCACAAAATAGAGAAATACACAACAACAGCTACACAAGCCTTCGTGACATCACCCATCACGAATTGAGATGCCTTCCTTATGCCGGGTTCCAACCTTATGGCTACCCCCAACCTTATGTCTAGTTCCAACCATTACCTCCAGGACCCCTGTACATCCAAGTCCAACCTTTTCCCTCCTGGGACCGTCGTCCCCCACCAACGACCACCAACAAGACCACCGATTTCATAGTACACGAGGGTACCGATCACACACACGGCAACACATGCCACCCAAGAAATACGTGAACCTTACACAAAGGTCACAAACTCCATAATCGCGTCATGGCCACCACGAGGACCACTGTCGTACCTTGATGACTAATGTCCCATACCATTAATCGTGCAATCAAGTACAACCACACAAACCACACCACAACAGGA